ACCTATAGTGTCTACCTCTATTATGGTATCTATATTCTTGCTCTCCTCTATTCTTCCCCTGACTAGATCTTCCTGTTCCCTCATGTCCTCCTCTCCCCTCATCTTCTCCCCTTCTCCCCTTCTAACTCTCTCTCTCCTCCCCCTATGCTTGCATTAGCTTAGGACATCTTGTCCCTTTCACCTTCTCCAGGGGACGATGTATGTCTATCCTAGAGTCTTCCTTGTTTCCTAGATTCTCTGGTGGTGTGGATTGTAGGCTGCTACTCCTTTGCTCTAGATCTAAAATCCATATATGAGTTAGTAATACTCTTTTTGTCTTTTTGCGACTAGTTGACTCACTCGGGATGGTTTCTTCTAGTTCCATCCATTTGCCTGTGAAATTCAAGATTCCATTGTTTTTTTCTGCTAAGTAGTACTCAATTGTGTAAATATACTACAATTTCTCCATCCATTCTTCAGTTGAGGGACATCTAGGTTGCTTCCATGTTCTGGCTATTATAAATAATGCTGCTATGAACATGATTGAACAAATGTCCTTGTTATGAATGTGCATCTTTTAGGTATATGCCTAAGAGTGGAATTGCTGCATCTTGTGGTAGATTGATTCCCATTTTCCTGAGGAACTGCCATACTGATTTCCAAAGTGGCTGTACAAGTTGGCACTCCCACAAGCAATGGAAGAGTGATCCTTTTCTCCACTTCTTTTCGAGCATAAATTGTGGTTTTTATTTTAGTCATTCTGACAGGATTAAGATGGTATCTCAGATTTGTTTTGATTTGCATTTCCCTGATGGCTAAGGATTTTCAACGCTTTCTTATGTGTCTTTCAGCCATTTTAGATTCCTCTATTGAGAATTCTCTATTTAGTTCTGCACCCCACTTTTTAATTGGATTTGTTGGTGTTTTGGAGACTAGCTTCCTGAGTTCTTTGTATATTTTGGAGATCAGCCCTCTGTCAGATGTAGAGTTTGATGAATATCTTTTCCCATTCTGTGGGCTGCCATTTCATCCTGTTGACTGTGTCCTTTGCCCTACAGAAGCTTCTCAGTTTCAGGAGGTCCTATTTATTAATTGTCAATCTCAGTGTCTGTGCTACAGGTGTAATGTTCAGGAAGCTGTCTCCTGTACCAATTCCTTCAAGGGTGCTTCCCACTTTCTCTTCTAAGAGGTTCAGTGTGGCTGGATTTATGTTGAGGTCTTTGATTCATTTGGACTTAAGTTTTGTTCATGGAGATAGATATGGATCTAACTTCAGTCTTCTACACACCAGCATCCAGTTATACCAGCATCATATGTTGAAGATTGTTTTTCATTGTATAATTTTAGCTTCTTTGTCAAAAATCAGGTGTTCATAGGTATGTGGGTTAATATCAGGGTTTTCAACTTGATTCCATTGATCTACTTGTCTATTTTTGTGCCGATACCAAGCTATTTTCAGGACTATGGCTCTATAATAGAGCTTGAAGCCAGGGATGGTGATGCCTCTGGAAGTTCGTTTACTGTACAGGGTTGTTTTGGCTATCCTGAGTTTTTTGTTTTTCCATATGAAGTTGAGTACTATTCTTTCAAGGTCTGTGAAGAATTGTGTTGGGATTTTGATGGGAATTACATTGAATCTGTAGATTGATTTTGGCAAGATTGTCATTTTTATTATGTTGATCTTACCAATCCAAGAGCATGGGAGATCTTTCTGCTATCTTCTTTAATTTCTTTTTCTAACGACTCAAAGTTTTTACTATACAGGTCTGTCTTCATTCTCATTGAATTGTAGAAAGTCTTTAATTTCTTTTTTTATTTCTTCCTTGAACCAGGAATGGTGCAATTGCACATTATTCAAATTCCATGAGTTTGTAGGTTTTCTGCAATTTGTGTTGTTGAATTCTAACTTTAAAGCATGGTGGTCTGATAAGATACAGGGGGTTATTCCAATTTTTTGTAACTGTGTAGGTTTGCTATGTTGCCGAGTAAGTGGTCAATTTTAGAGAAGGTTCCATGTGGCACTGAGAAGAAGGTATATTCTTTTGTGTTCAGACCAAGTATTCTATAGATGTCTTTTAATCCCAATTGGGTAATAACTTCTCTTAGTTCTTTTGTTTCTTTGTTAAGTTTCTGTCTGGTGGTCCTATCTAGTGGTGAGAGTGGGGTGTTGAAGTCTCCTACTATAAGTGTGTGAGATGTCATGTGTGAATTGAACTTTAGTAAAGTTTCTTTTACAAATGTGGGTGCCTTTGTATTTGGGGCATAGATGTTCAGGATTGAGACTTCATCTTGATGGACTTTTCCTGTGATGAGTATGAATTGCGCTTCTTCATTTCTTTCAGTTGATTTTAGTTTGAAGTCTTATTTCTTAGATATTAGGATAGCTACATCAGCTTGTTTCTTGGGTCCATTTGATTGGAAAGTCTTTTTCCAACCCTTTACTCTGAGGGAACCTCTGTATTTGACATTGAGATGTGTTTCTTGTATGCATCAGAAGGATGATTTCTGTCTTCATATACATTCTGTTAGTCTGTATCTTTTTATAGACAAGTTAAGCTCATTGACATTGAGGGATATTAATGACCATTGATTGTTGATCCTTGTTTGTTTTGGATTTGTTGTTGGTGGTGTTATTATGTGTGGATTTCCCTCCTTTTTTCTTTTGGTGTTTGGTAAAGTGGGATTATCTATTGCTTATGGTTTTTTAAGCATAGTTATTTTCATTGGGTTGGAATTTTCCTTCCAGTAATTTCTGTAGGGCTGGATTTGTAGATATGTATTGCTTAAATCTGGTTTTGTCATGGGATATCTTGTTTTCTCCATCTATAGTGATTGAAAACTTTGATGGATACAGTAGTCTTGGCTGGCATCCATGTTCCCTTAGTGTTTGTAGAACATCTATCCAGGATCTTCTGGCTTTCAAAATTTCCATTGAGAAGTTGGGTGTAATTTGGATAGATCTGCTTTATATGTTACTTGGCCTTTTTCTTTTGCAGCTCTTAATATTTTTTCTTTATTCTGTAAGTTTGGTGTTTTGATTATTATGTGTTGAGGGGATTTATTTTTGTGTTCCAATCTATTTGGTGTTCTGTAAGCTTCTTGTACTTTCATAAGAATATCCTTCTTTAGGTTGGGGAAGTTTTCTTCTATGATTTTGTTGAATATGTTTTCTGTACCTTTGAGCTGAATTTCTTCACCTTCTTCTATACCTATTATTCTTAGGTTTGGTCTTTTCATGGTATCCCATATTTCCTGGATATTTTGTGTTAGGGATTTGTTGGACTTGAGATTTTCTTTGGTTGATGACTGTATATCTTCTAGTGAGTCTTCAACACCTGAGATTCTCTCTTCCATTCTCTTGCATTCTAATGGTTATACTTACATCAGTGGTTCCTGATTGTTTACCCAGCTTTTCTATTTCCAGCATCCCCTCATTCTGTGTTTTCCTTATTTTATCTAATTCTGATTTCAAACCATGAACTGTTTGAATTATTTCTTTTACTTGTTTGGTTGTTTTTTTCTTGGCTTTCTTTAGATTCTTTAAGAGACTTGTTTATTTCTTGAATTTTTTGGTTTGTCTTTTCCTCCATTTCATGTAATTTTTGCTTGTTTTTACTTCTATTTAAGGGATTTTTGTGTTTCCTCTTTAATAGTATCTATCATCTTCATAAGATAATTTTTAAAGTTCATCTCTGCTTCATCCTCTGTGTTGGGCTTTTCAGTTCTTGCTAGTGAGGAGTCCTAGATTCTGGTGGTGTCATATTGGTCTTTCTGTTGTTGCATGTGTTCTTATTCTGTCATCTTCCTATCCCTTCTTCCAGTAGGTGCAGGTAGGGTCTCTCCCTCTCTTCTAGTCTCCTCAAGCAAAGGACAGAGGGCAGAGGGTGAATCAAGAGTGAGGTGTGTCCAGATTCAGGGTAGGCCTTCCGGTTTTGTTGGGTCCACTCTACTTGAGGGGCAGTCACAGGAAGAAGGGAGGAGGAGGTAATGGGGGAAGTTGGGGGCAGAACAGCACCCAGATCTACCTCAGGTGGCAGGCAGAGGGAGAGGGGGGAGCCTAAATGTGTTTTTATAAGATGCTTATTGCTGTAACATTCTAGACTAACTCCCCCAAACTATTTTAGTTGTTTCTGAAATAAGATTTAACTATATCCAAAATGTTTCCTAAGTATTATCACATTTTAAATGACACCCATATTTTCCATAGTTTTACAATAAAAGTTTATTTGACTCTTCTTCTTTTTTGTTAATGCCCCAAATTGGTTGTCTGGATTTCTTTTCTATAGCTGTGGCAACTCATAAATACTAATGCAACTTTTAAAGGGAAGTGTTCCATTTCACTTATATTTATTGAGGGTCAGTGTTCTCGATGGTGTAGCAAAGGCATGGTGGCAGGAACTGCCGAGACCTCACACTTTCTCCCTAACAGGAGGCACAGAGAGCACACTGGAACTGTCACTCTCTTTTGAAATCTCAAAACTTGCCCAAAGTGAAAGATGTCCTCAATAGACCATACCTTGTAATCATCCTTTATAGTGTTTCATTATTGAGGACAAAGTACTCAAACTTATGAGCCTATTGGGCTATTCTCACTCAGACCTGTACTAAAGTTGTATTCAAACCTACTGCCTAAGACATAGTTTTCAAAGAAAGACAGACATTATTGCACACAATGAAGGTGTTTTTCATCATGTATATAGTAATATATTGTGAAGTAAAGTACAGTTTTATAAGTAGGAAATTCTGTTTATTTCCACATTACAAATTTGTATTTGGCCTAGTGGTGGTTGCATATACCTTTAATCCCAGCACTTGGAAGTCAGAGGCAGGTGGATCTCTTTGAGTTTGAGACCAACCTGGTCTACAAGGGCTAGTTCCAGGACAGCCTGCAAAGCCACAGAGAAACCCTGTCTCAAAAAAACAAAAAAAAAGTATTTGTTAGCTTATGTGTCCACTCCTTTGAACATGTTATTTATTTGTTTACTAATTTGTATGTCTCTGCATTTGTGTTCATTTGGAAGGGTGCATGCGATTGTCAGAAGACAACTTTCAGGAACTGGGTCTCTATTTCCAACATCTAGGACCCAGGGAGGTAACTGAGATAATCAGGTTTTGAAAAAACACCCTTCCTAACTGATGCGCCTCATGGTCCAACCACATTCTGCTTTCAGCCTCTCTATAGAGGTGAGTTGACAAAATTCAGTGTCTCATCCTTACTACTGGTTCTAGTATGGGTTTGTGTAGGGAGGGGAAACTCAGAAATTTGGGCACACACTCCTTAAATCGACAAGTCTTCTGACCACTATGAATTACTCCCCACATTTATTCTAAAGAAAAAATTTTGTACTAGTGAGAAATTCTTATATGACTATATTAGGGACAAAGACTGTTATAGTTTCTATAGGGTGACATATGAAAGACTTTCCTCCAGGGTGAGTTCTTTCATGTCCACTATGGCACCTGGAGCTGATGAAGGCTTTTGCACAATCTTTACATGCTTAAGTCTTCTTTCCACTGTGACTTATTTCATGGTCATTAAAATAATTAAAGTGAAGGGATAGCTTTCCAAATGTTTTACAAGGGATTTCATTCCAGTATGAATTCTTGCATGAGTGTTAAGAGAAGCTGAAATGGTAAAGGTTTTTCCACAATGCATACCTGCATAAGGTTTCTCTCCAGTGTAAATTCTTTTTTTTTTTCAGAGACAGGGTTTCTCTGTGTAGCTTTGGAGCCTATCCTGGCACACTCTCTGGAGACCAGGCTGGCCTCGCACTCACAGAGATCCGCCTGCCTCTGCCTCCCGAGTGTTGGGATTTTAGGCGTGCGCCACCAATGCCCGGCCCAGTGTAAATGCTTTCATGAATGTTATAACTGCAGTGGGCATAGGCTTTTCCACAAACTTTACATTACTATGGCTTCTCTCCAGTGTGAATTTATCATGGGTTCAGGCAAGAGGCTTACAGCAAGTGGATAGGGGTTTGTTAAAATGATCTGATCCGAGGGTAAAAAGGAAATAAACCGGCTCACACACGTGTTTCTCTCATGGCCCTATATTCTTCAAGAAATGTTTTCCCCAAAAGCTCTCTCTCAAAAGCTCACCTTAAGATTTCTCCTTAAAAGTTATCTCCTCAAAAGTGCTCTTTCTAAAAGCTCTCTCTTCAAGTTCCCCTTAGAGATTCTTCTTAAAATTTCTCCTAGAGTTCTTTCTAAAAATTCTCTAAAGTTCCTTCTAAAAATTCTCCAAAAGTTCCTCCACACCCCACAAGGCTTCTAGTTGTTTCATCCACAGACACATTTAAAAACTCTCTGACAATAAGACATGCATATTTCTCAGAACCAGGAAGGCCAATAAGATCTTGAGAAATGTGAGCACCTCAAGGCTCAAGGGGGAGAAGTGATTTGTAACACTTAAAGGGGACTTCTCAGCACTATATCAAATACGCAGTAACAAACATTCTGGAGTTGATACCTAGAATATTAATTGCTAATTCAGTAATAAATGATAAAGGCTCCCTGTTGATGGACTTTTCTGTCCAGCCTGGTTTCACTGCCCCTCAGTTCAAAATAAACACACAGAGGCTTCTATTGATTATAAATGGTTAGGGCGATGACTCAGGCTTCTCATTGACTAGCTCTCTCTTAGTAAGTAACCCATTAATATTAACCTGTTTATCTCCACATGCTCTTGGTTTACCAATGATGCCCGACCCTCTTGCTTTCTCAGCACCTACATGGAGTCTCTCTGGTGACCCACTCTTGTGTTCCTCTTCCCAGCTTTCTCCTAGTCTGGTAGCCCTGCCTATACATCCTGCCTGGCTCCATCCTGCTTGTCCATTGTCCAAAACAGCTTTATTCATCAACCAATAAGAGAAACATTTATTCACAGCATACAGAACAACCTCCACCAGCAGTTGCCAGCATGACTTCCTTCAAGAAACTTACACCAAAGATTTTTGTGAAGCTTTTCCCACAGTCCTTTGTAAGGTGTTACTCTGTGTTGTATGTGGATGGTGAAATAAAGAGGTCTACTCCAAGATGAATTTTTGGTTCTCCAAGACAGTATGGAGAATCACTTTCTATGAACTAAACCTTAAACACCCATGTAAAGGCTTATTTATTATTCCAAACAAATATTTTTGGGAGGGGGTTAAAAAAGATTAGCGTATCAAAGTCCCTGATCTATTCTTTATGTTTTTCTTTAAAAAAAAAAAAGCAACACACCCCTGGCACTTTAACCCTATTTGTAGTGTTTGTAGTACCCAATAATTCAAGATATCCAGGGTAGTCTTGTAGCCAAAGTCATGACAAGGTTGTAAAGATCTTTAGAAAAACAACTCTATAAATAACAAAAATAATCACTGTTTTCCACAATGATTTCTTCAAGGTGCAAGATCTTCTAGCAAACAGCTACTCACTCTGTTGTGTACCCTGTATGCCACAAAAAGCGACTATTTCATTCTACTCTTTACTCTAGATACAGGGACTCTGTTAGTTTCCCAGAATAATTCTTACATACATAAGGCATTTCACTTCTGTGAGTTCTGCTATATGTTTCTCCAAACATGAAGCATATATAATGTTTTCCCACATTGCTTACAAATGTAACTTTTCACTCCAGTATGATCTTTTTCATGAGTGTTTTTGCATGATCCACCCTTTTGGTTCTGCCATGCACAGGACACACGCACACACAGGTCCCCTACACAGATGCTTCAGTCCTTGGCAAAAGTTATTGGCTTAGCAGAGGTTCCACATGTTGCTCCTTCAGCTAGGGCACCCTAGTTCAGGGACACCAGCCCTGCCTCTTTGGGTCATGTAATAGCTTCTTTAAAAAAATCTTCTACCCTTGGATTTCCTATTCAACCAAACCTTGACCTTGTGTAATGGGTCCCCTGGTATTTGGTGATATTAGGCCAAAGTTTATTTCCAAGAACTTACCTGGAACTCTCATGACGCCAAAAACTATTTCCTGGAAATTTTCATACATTATCATAACCTGCAGTCAATTTGAGGTCCAGCTTTGGCACCCTGCGGACCCTAGGTATGTGAAATGACTAACATCCTTGAAAATGTTTCTTAAAAATGATATTTTCTCTTTAATCCTAGTTCATTCTTTAAGCCCAGCTGACAAGAAAGCACAGATTTTAAGGTAAAATACCAAAGGAATTGCCGTTCCCCCCCCAGTCTTTGATGTAACTATCATCATGTCTGAAACTATACAAACCAGACGTCCAATTTTTAGACTCTTCTCAGCATTCCTGTGCCCTGAATTCTGCATTAGCTCATTAACCTTTGAGCATTCTATGACTTTCTATCCAAGCTTCCTGGTGTTCTCCTAGTCCTGAATAAACCACAGGGTCAGCTCTGTCACAGCATTACCCCATGAACCTGGTAACCAACTTCCATTTTTGCAGCACTCCCAGTTCCTGGGATAAACGTCATGGCCAAAGTCATCTTCTCTGTAATAGATCATGTTTTTGAATACACTTCCATGTTACAGTTAGTCAAGAAAAGGCGGAACAGGAGCTAAAATTAGGCAGGAACCCACGGTCCAGAACTGAACTTGAGCCTATGGAGGAATTCTGCTTTTTAGGTTGCTCCTTGCGGATGATAAAGGAATGCTTCTGATAATAATCATTCAAAGCTGCCCAGAGGATCACCACTCATGAGCTAAGCCCTCTGTCATTAAACAGGAATGAGAAAATTTACCCAGAGAGCTGACTACAGGCCATCTGGATTTTCTCATTTTCTCAATTGAGATACTGTCTTCAGGTCATCCTAGCAGGAGTCACACTGATAACAAACTAGCCAGCGCAGGCCAAGTATTAAAATGCCATAGTGTGATGTAAAAATCAGGTGATTGTAATGATTGTCTTTTAACACCATTCCTGGTGTTAATGAATGTTCACTCTTTTATGTCCATGAATTTTCTTAGGTGTGTGCTTATTTGTGCTGTGTATATCACTTGTGTGAAAGAGATTTGTAGAGTCCAGCAGAGGGTAACGTATCCTTTAGATCAAGAGTAATGGGAATTTCTGGCCATTCCACATGGATGCTGACATCAAACTATGACCTGCAAGAAGAATAAGAATTGTTCTTAATATCAGAGCTTGTGATACAACTATGTCATAATCATTAAAGAAGTAAAGTCAACACTCCAATTCTTTTCACATGACAGGGTCTTTCCATGTAGTTCATGCTGTCCTTAACATTGTGAATATGGCGTTCTTGTCTCTGAGACAGTGTAGTTGCAGTGGAACACATAAGCCATCCTCCAGTATTTCCCTTGGCTACAGTAATGCTTTTCACATGTTTTGCAGAACCCAGGAGTTTGAGAACTACTGTGCATTTGAATATCATAGTCAGTATATTGAAAATCACCAACTGATTAGAGAGAGAATGCTGCCGATAAAGATACACCTTGTGTAGTGAGGTTCTATGAAAGCCAATTGCATGTAAGAAACATTCACTAATCATTCATCCTCACCGTGGGTCTCAGAGTCCAGACTGGAGGGGAAAGATCTCAGTCTAAGGAAGCTGTGCCGAAGCCTCTTAATCATCAGAAACACTGGAAAGATATCAGTCGTTCTAAATCACTTCAGTCCTTGAAACCTCTCTTACAGAGAAACAATGTAAAAATCAACAATGTAATGAATCCTGTAAGACTCTCCCCTTTGATCAGCCTCAGGAGAGAAATCAAAGCAGGGATAGAGACAATAGGAATGTACTAATAAGAAACACACATGGCCAGAGTGTGAGTGGAAGTCTGCACTGGTTCTTCCCGTCATGAGGAAGTACAAGCATAGTTTGGAGTTCTCAGGATCTCACAGTAGGAAACTTTTGGACTTTTAAAAAGATACTGATGTTTTCGAGCCTGACAAGTTAAATGGTTAGAGTTTATTAAACACAGGGAGAGTTTCGATGTTATACTTTAGACTGTGATATCCAGAGTATTTAGGATCAATCAAGAAATTGAAATAATTGATTAATATCAATGTATTTGTGCATCACGATGACAAGTAATCCATTGTGTTCATTATTTTTTTGTCAATTTGATACAATCTCTGACACATCTGAAAACAGAGAACTAAATGGAGAAAATGGCTCTGTCTGATTGACTTTTGTTTTTTGCTGTTGTTGGGTTTCTTTTTTTTTTTTAGTTTTTTGAGACAGGGTTTCTCTGTGTAGTTTTGGAGCCAATCCTGGCACTCGCTCTGTAGACCAGTCTGGCCTGGAACTCACAGAGATCCACCTCCCTCTGCCTCCTGAGTGCTGGGATTAAAGGCGTGTGCCACCAACACCCGACCAAAGATTTTATTTATTTATTTATTTATTTATTTATTTATTATTTATAGTCTTCTGCCTGCATGCCAGCAGACGGCACCAGATCTCATTTAAGGTGGTTGTGAGCCACCATGTGGTTGCTGGGAACTGAACTCAGGACCTCTGGAAGAACAGTCAGATTGCCGGGTGGTGGTGGTGCATGCCTGTAATCCCAGCACTTGGGAGGCAGAGGCAAGTGGATCTCTGTGAGTTCGAGACCAGCCTGGTCTACAAGAGCTAGTTCCAGGTCAGCGTCCAAAGCCATAGAGAAACTCGGTCTCAAAAATCCAAAAAAAAAAACCCCAAACAACAACAACAACAACAACAACAAAAAACCAGCTGAGCCCTCTCTCCAGCCAGTTGACTTTTAGGCAAGTTTGTGGGGGTATTGTCTTGATTAATGATTAAGGTAGAGTTGTCCAGCCAACTGTGGGATTATGGCCTGAGAGAGACCTGCCAGGATGGAATCATGCAGATGTGTAAGATATGAGGACCACACAGCAGTAAACAGCATAGCTCCATCATCTCCTCTTCAGTTCCTGTCTCCAGATCCCTGCCAGGCTTGAGTTCCTGCCCTGCCCTGTGTTCCGTTTATGAAGGGACAATGACAATGAACTGAAAGTAAAAATGAGCTCCACACCACGGGTGTGTTTTACAACATAAAAGAAAGCAAACCAAGCACAGCACTTACGTTCAAAGTCTCAAAAGAATGGACAGAAAGATAGTAAATACTTTTGGCTATGAAGAGAACTTTTGGTGTAATAATTCTGGAAAATCTCTATCAGAGATTAATGTGGCATCACATGTTGGTGATAGTCATAGACTGTGCAGATGAGATACTAAAATAATTAATGATACATTATAGGAGTTTGTGTGGGATCAATGTGCAGCTAAATACATTTGGATCATTTGACAAGTTCTCAGTTGTTCCACCATTCCCATTTGCTTGAAGAAAATTGCTTCCCACTTCCTTAAGTTACCCAGATTTTGGTGAGAAATTTGTAGTCCTCTTCGTTATTTTCTTCTAACATTTTCTCTAGAAGCAATCCTGAAGATTTCTTTTGCCATATTTAACATTTCAAAAAGAAAAATAGTATAACCCAGCTCCTACGACATGGGTATGAACACTAAATTCACATTTTCCTTCCACATTTCAAATTATTCTACTACACACAGAAGCAGGAAAGAGCTGATAATTATGACAATATACGATCTCTGGAAAGGCAAGAGCCACTAAGAAAGTCAGGCTCATGTTGGTCCCACAGATATAGCTTTCTAATTGTATTCAGCTTTCAGTAAGCAGGGTGGGGATGATCTGTTGGATTATGAAAAAAAAAAACAAAAACATCCAGCTGGAGACAAAGAAAAGACTGTGGTTGGTGAACCATCAAGAAGAATATGAGAAAATATCTAATGCTGGGTTAGATGAAAAGGGAGTTTAGGTCTAAACCATCGAGTACCAACAGCACCGAAAGAAAATTCAGTATATCAGAGCATGGGAAATGATGTAACTCCAGAGAGATGTAATGAATCAATCTAAAATCATCAATATAGAGCATATCATGACATTATACTTGGGGTGGATGATTGTCAATACATGCTATGTTAATACACTTTATACAGGATTTCATCGACCCCTTTCAAAATCTATATAGACTTGTGTCTAATACATATCATTTACATTTTTGGTTATACTTTCCTGCTGTGGATGGCCAAATTCAATTATCACCATCATTGTGTGTTTAGTTTTTGTTACTCTTACTGTGAAAATGTTATTTGTTGTTAGTATTAAGCAGGTGACATGAAGGCCAATTTAGACTCCAGTCCTTGAGGTTGGGTATTTGGGAGGAGTGCGTAGCTCCTTTAACCTTTAACAGTTGTTTTGCCTACTGAGATGAGTCAGGGTACTTATGCATCATATAACTTCTCCAGGAGAACATGGATGACATTTTCTTTCTACCATACAGTGTGTACTCTGCTTAGAACCAATCTCTGGTTCTTCCTTCTCACAGGCTGACTGAACCAAGGGTCAGGATATTTACCAGAGTTGGAGGAAAATTTAAGGTGTCCTGAAATCCCATCAGACTTAGCAGAACTGGAGATTGGGTCCAGAGCATTATTATTCTGATGCTTGTCCATATTGGTGGTACAGGTTTCCAAGAATGGGCATTGAATACTGAGAAGGAGTGTTGATCAAAGTAATGAAGAAACCCTGTTTGAAAGTTGAGCTGTAGCTGCTATAGTGATGTTGCAGGATTAAGAAAACTTACTGTTCTTACACAGGACAAAGGTTCAAATTCCAGCAACCACTTGGTATCTCACAACCATCCTTAAATTCATTTCCAAGGGATCTGGCACCATCTTCTGAATTCCAGAGGAATAAAGCACAGTGAGCATGCATAAATGTAGGAAAAATACTTAATGTACAAAATAAAATATATACATCTTAACTTTTTATTAAGCAAATTTTTATTTTCCTGACATAAAACACTTGGATCAAAGTTGACAGGGAAATTCTTTAAATAAATTCAACATAAAACTCAATTTGTTAATTAGCATCATAACCATTTAGTTGGAAGAATAAGCAATTATTTGGAAGAAAGAAAATATTTGGGGGTATATTATAAACATATTAATAACTTAAAGAATCAGAAGTCACAGGCTGTCATTTTTTCAGTCATTACATTTTGAGAGAGGCAGAGCCTAAATTATCATCTTCAAGATGAGGGCATTGTCTTGAGGAAAATGAATTTATACCTTGCTACAGAAGCTATTGTGTTCTGTGAGCAAAAAGTGATTTTAGACTTCAATCAGAGCTGAGATGAGGACAAAGTAAACATTGACTTATGGTTTAAACAACTTGTATAAAAAGAACCTCTAATCACAATATGTAATAAAAGAAATTTGGGCCAAATTGGAAGTTTTAAATAAAAGACAAATATAGGTCGAATTTTACAAGGGGTAAAACATAATAACACAATAACAAGTAAAAAATGCACATATGCATAGGTATCATAAAGATGATTTTAAAGACAAAGATATGTCAATTTTCATTTTAAGAATAGGCTGTGGACTAGATTATAGATCTTATTTTACTAGAACTAACAAACCATATTCAAAACTTTTTTTAAATTAAGGAAATGACTACAATCTAAGAGGAAAACCTTAGATGTCAAAGACAAAGATCCTAAGAAGAATATTGGTAAGACTTAAAGCATGCAGAACAGAGACCACCAGCTTGGTTTTTAAATTTTTCTTTTAGTTTAACTGGACAAGAACAAAGCCTCAAAAAATATGTCTTTATAGAGGTGAGAACAGGTAGACAGGCCAACAGTCTTTTTTTGTTTGTTTGTTTTATTTTTAATTTTTATTATTAAAACAAGCTTCTTTTACATGTCAATCCCCAGTTCCCTCTCCCTCCTCTCCTCCCCTGTCCCTACCCACCCCCCATCCCAACTCCTTTTTGCTGCCAGGGAGGATGAGGCCTTCCATGGGGGGAATCTTCAAAAGTCACCATTTGGAGCAGGGCCTAGACTCTCCCCAGTGTGTCTAGGCTGAAAGAGTATCCCTCTATATGGAGGGGGCTCCCAAAGTCCATTCATATACTAGGGATAAATACTGATTCACTACCAGAGGCCCCATAGATTGCCTAGACCTCCAACCGACATCTTCCCTCAGGGGGTCTGGAACAGTCCTGTTCTGGTTTCCCAGCTATCAGTCTGGGGTCCATGAGCAACCCCTTGTTCAGGTAAGCTGTCCCTGTGGGTTTCTCCAGTCTGGTCCTTCTGGTCCTTTGCTCATCACTCCTCCTCCCTCTCTGCAACTGGATTCCAGAGTTCAGCTCAATGTTTAGCTGTGGATGTCTGACTCTGCTTCCATCAGCTACTTGATGGAGGCTCTAGGATGGCATATAAGGTAGTCATCAATCTCAGTATCAGAGAAGGGAATTTAGCTCAGTCGGTAGAGCATGAGACTCTTAATCTCAGGGTCATGGGTTCGTGCCCCACGTTGGGCGCCACCTGTAGGATTAAAGTCTCTTTATTCAAGAAAACACCAGGGCAAAACACAGGCCAGAGTGAGGTTACAGGAACCCAGCAAGCGTGGCCAGAACAAAAGGGGCTCGGGTCTCTAGGAGCCGTCTTTAAGAAGCCTCCCTTATGTCACCTTGGCTTTCCTACACCACGCCCTTATGGGCGAGTCCCGGGTCCACCTGGTACCTGTCCCAGGGCAGGGCTAGGGTGTCTCCCTACAGGTAACCAGTCTTAAATTTTAATATTTTTGGTAGAATTTATCCGAGAAATTAGAGGCATTGACTCCTGTTTTCTCAATAGTTAACAGCACAGACAATATTTGTATAGGATAAGCATACTTAGATTTTGAATGTTACTCGTTTGGTATTGTATGTCCTATCATCCTAGAAGCTCATACCAAAATCTACAATCAGGAAGCAGAGAGAATATACTATAAATATTAGTGTTTTGCAAATCTCAAACTTGACTAGAAGGACAGATATGTACCAAAAGTCCTTAACTCTGACTAATCCTCAATCTGTCCACCAATGCGACCAAGTTTCAAAAAGTCTACTGAGCCATCCTCAAAAGAAACACCACTACAGTTGTTTTCCAACTACTATCTTAGACAAAGTAAAAAACAAAGAATAAACAAAATCATCCAAACAAAGAAAACACCAGAGCAGGAATTATTACACATATTGTAATGATTTTCATCCTTCATATAGTAAAATATTGGGAGTTAAAATTAAACTTCTGCAGGTCTAACAATGTGTCTTTTAACATTAAAATACTGTATTTGT